TCATTTGATAAAATGATAAATATAGCATTGAAATATAGAAACTATGAAATTGCTAACTACCTTAAATTAAATTTTGGTCAAAGTCCTGATTCAATAGCAGAAAGTATGTATTTCGGAAATTATGATATTGCCTCTTATTTACTTTCTAATGGAGAAAATGTCAACAAAACTTATAATCTCTTTCTTTTCATATTAATCATCATTTAATGGCATTCTATTTCTTTTCATATTTCTCATTGTTGAATCAAGTTCTCTCGATATTAATGAATGTCCTCTCAATATTGCAATCAAAGCTAATTCAATAGAAATTGTGAAATTCTTAGTTGAGCATGGTGCTGATGTTAACAAACGAATTATTCTCTTTCATTTCATATTTATCATTATTTTATGAGATTTTCTTTCTTTTCATATTTATCATTATTTTATGGCATTCCCTTTCGTTTTATATTTATCATTGTTTTATTACATTCTCATTCATTTCACATTTCTCATTGTTGAATCAAGTTCTCTCTATGTTAATGAATGCCCTCTTAGTATTGCAACCAAAGCGAATTCAATTGAAATTGTGAAATCTTTAGTTGAACATGGTGCTGATGTTAACATAAAACTTATTCTCTTTCTTTTCATTTTTATCATTATTTCATGACATTTTCTTTCTTTTCATATTTAACATTATTTTATGAAGTTATATTTCTTTTTATATTTCTCATTGCTTAATGCAATTCTTTCTATATTAATGAATACCCTCTTAGTATTGCAATCAAAGCGAATTCAATTGAAATTGTGAAACTTTTAGTTGAGCATGGTGCTGATGTTAACATAAAACTTATTCTCTTTCTTTCTATATTTATCATTATTTCATGACATTTTCTTTCTTTTCATATTTAAAATTATTTTATGAAGTTATATTTCTTTTTATATTTCTCATTGCTTAATGCAATTCTTTCTATATTAATGAATACCCTCTTAGTATTGCAATCAAAGCGAATTCAATTGAAATTGTGAAATCTTTAGTTGAACATGGTGCTGATGTTAACATAAAACTTATTCTCTTTCTTTTCATTTTTATCAATATTTTATAAAATTCTCTTTCTTTTCATATTTAACATTATTTTATGGCATTTTCTTTCTTTTCATATTTCTCATTATTTTATGGCATTCCCTTTCTTTTCATATTTATCATTGTTTTATTACATTCTCATTCATTTCACATTTCTCATTGTTGAATCAAGTTCTCTCTATGTTAATGAATGCCCTCTTAGTATTGCAACCAAAGCGAATTCAATTGAAATTGTGAAATCTTTAGTTGAACATGGTGCTGATGTTAACATAAAACTTATTCTCTTTCTTTTCATTTTTATCAATATTTTATAAAATTCTCTTTCTTTTAATATCTATCATTGTTTTATTACATTCTCATTCATTTCACATTTCTCATTGTATAATGAAGTTCTCTCTATGTTAATGAATGCCCTCTTAGTATTGCAACCAAAGCGAATTCAATAGAAATTGTGAAACTTTTAGTTGAGCATGGTGCTGATGTTAACATAAAATTAATTATCTTTCTATTATATTTATCATTACTTTATAACATTCTCATTCTTTTAATATTTCTCATTAGTTTATTACATTATCTTTTTTTTCATATTTATCAGTGTTTTATATAGAATTTTCTTTCTTTTCATATTTATCATTGTTTTATGGCATTCTCTTTCTTTTCATATTTATCATTGTTTTATCTCATCATCTTTCTTTTCATATCTATCATTGTTTTATTACATTCTCATTCATTTCACATTTCTCATTGTATAATGAAGTTCTCTCTATGTTAATGAATGCCCTCTTAGTATTGCAATCAAAGCGAATTCAATTGAAATTGTGAAACTTTTAGTTGAGCATGGTGCTGATGTTAACATAAATTTATTCTCTTTCTTTTCATATTTATCAATGTTTTATAACATTCTCTTTCTTTTCATATTTATCATTAGTTTATTACATTATCTTTCTTTTCGTATTTATCATTGTTTTATTACATTCTCATTCATTTCACATTTCTCATTGTATAATGAAGTTCTCTTTATGTTAATGAACGCCCTCTTAGTATTGCAATCAAAGCGAATTCAATAGAAATTATGAAATTTTTAGTTGAGCATGGTGCTGATGTTAACATAAAACTTATTCTCTTTCTTTCCATATTTATCATTATTTCATGACATTCTCTTTCTTTTTATATTTATCATTACTTTATAACATTCTCTTTCTTTTCATATTATCATTGTTTTATTACATTATCTTTCTTTTCATATTTATCATTATTTTATGAGATTTTCTTTCTTTTCATATTTCTCATTGTTTTATTTTATTCTATTTCTTTTCATATTTCTCATTATTTTATGGCATTCTCTTTCTTTTCATATTTATCAGTGTTTTATTGCATTATCTTTCTTTTCATATTTATCATTATTTTATGAAATTTTCATTCATTTCATAGTTATCATTAGTTTATGGCATTCCCTTTCTTTTCATATTTATCATTGTTTTATTACATTCTCATTCATTTCACATTTCTCATTGTTGAATCAAGTTCTCTCTATGTTAATGAATGCCCTCTTAGTATTGCAATCAAAGCGAATTCAATTGAAATTGTCAAATTCTTAATTGAACATGGTGCTAAGAATTGAAAATAAACAGCATTATTTAAGAATAAACATTTCATTTCTTCAATTGATTTTTCCATACCGTATGCAGACTTTTTCAAGATATATCTTTGAAGAAAATATAAAATACCTTGAAATGTTTATTCTTATTAGGCAAGTCCATGGACAAAGCTTAGTTTATGGACATTAAAACAGTACATGGACTTGCCTATTATATAAAAATATCATAATATATTTTGCATACCGTATACAGACATTTTCAAGATATATCTTTGAAGAAAATATAAAATAAATAAAACAATATGAATATTAAAGTCATTTCAAGAGCCTTGTACCGATAAACTAGCCTTGTACTGCCATTTTATGGTGATGTAAAGTATTCAAAAAATTTGCAATGTAAGCCATTACATGGCAAGTTTTATTTAAATATGAAAAGTTTTTTTTTTCATTATTATTATTATTATTATTATTATTATTTTTATTTTGGCGGGCAATAAACGTCTTCAAATTCTTTCCAATTATTCAGTTAAATATAAGTAGTCCTCTCGTTGGCTTATCTAATTTAAATTATCAATTCATTCAAATTCTGAAAATACTCTATAGCAATTAGCATGATAACTACAATCTGGGTGTTTGAATTATAAAAACTGAATAGGTATCAAAAATAAATCAAAATTTTATTTAACATCCATATGAAAAGATTTATAAGCCTTATGAGTACTTGAAAGCAACTTAAGGAGCTTTTATTTGTATTTGGATTCGATTACAACGTATTTCTTTCGATATTTGAGGAGAAATTAAGCCGATTATCTCTTTTTTTGGATTAATGCAAGCGCAATGTAGGGATTGTGCTGTTCTCCTAAGGTATTCGGTAATTTATTGCTTTAACATAGTAAAGAACTGTGTTAGATTGAAATTGTTTTTGAAATTATTTTACCTTTCATATTTCACAACTCATTTTGAACAAAAGTTCATCTAGCTTCCATGTGATACGGGCATGCATTGTATTTGTCATCTATTTGTGGGATTACTTATACTCAACTACAAATTTATATTGTCACTTTTCCCGCCAGTTGCCCATGTATAAATAAAACAATCCTGAAAAAAAATTGATAAGTCTTAAAGAGGCTCAAAAATGAGGGATAGTAATTATAGCAAAAATAAATATAACAATTTTAATAAAACATAAATAAACAGTTAGGAACTAAAACGTGAATTATGTAAACTATCACAGTGAATTAAGCTGCTCGAGAATCAATTTATCTGCAACTTTTATTAATTCATTAACAACTGAAGCAGAATTATTGATTTTTCCAACGTAGTCTTCAACAATTTTTGATTTTTGTTCACTAGTGAGATCCTTGTCGACTCTTTCTGTTGGATGAATTATGAGATCTGATTCTTCTTCTTCTTCAAAGTAATCATTTTCGATAATAAGTTCATCTTCGTTAATAAAGTCATAGCACTCCTCTTCTTCGTCATCTGAGTCGTCATTAACTGAATATTTTGATTTTCTTATGAAAATGTGCTTTGGAGAGCCCTCCTCTTCTTCTTCATCACTTCCTTTGTCCAATAATTCATCTACTTTTGGTGAAGGACATTCAATTTTTATTGAATCGACATCTTCATCGGAATTCGAATCTGCTAAATTAAACAGATCATCGCTGTTGGCATCTGATGCATTATCTTTGGTATTTTCTTCTTCTGTTTCGTTTTTACTTGGATTTTGATTTAAATTTGACGTCTGGATTGTCAATTTGAGCTTTTGGTCTTCATTAACTGTTGGTGTTTGATTGTTGTCTTTAAGGATATCATCTTTTTTTGAATCTTCAGTATCGAGAATATCAGATGTTAATTTACTTGGTCCTTTTGGGGCAAAAAGCTCATCCAAATCTTCCTCTTCGATTAAACTTGCAAGGATTTCATCAATTTTCCCAATATCGTCAAGTTCATCAGTTTTGCTATCTGGAGGTGGGATCTCGCTTGTTTCTGCAGATTCTGGAGAGGTAGATACTGGGATATCTACAACTTGGCATTTATTCAACTCGTCTTTTTCACTTGGAAAAGATTCTTCTTCAATTATTAAATCGTCAGCGTCAATCATACGTGGAGCTTGTATATTCGGATCATCTAACTCATTGATATCAAGAATTGAAGGGTTGTGGTTGCATAAAGAAGATTCTACATCTGAATACATTTCTTCTTCTTCAAATTTCAGAGCATTTGGATCCAGAGATTCAATATTATCTTCTTCGAACTGGAATCTGTCTTCTTCTTCATTTTCTTTTGGATTTTGTTCCTGAACATTGAAATTTTCTTCAAGAACAATCTCGGATTTGTCTTCTTTCATATCCTTAACTTCTGTTGCTACAATGAGAGGAAGATTTTCTTCACCTTTTGAGTTTTTTGGTGATTTCTGATTTGCATTTGAAGAATCATCATCTTGAAGTATTTCATCGATGATCTTGTGTGCTATGTCACTTGAATTAATTAATTCTTTTGGTTCTTCGCTACTTTTGTTTTCATCATTTTTATCTTGTTCGGGATTTTTAATATCTGAGATCTCAACATTATCAGAATTGCTTATTTGACTAACGCTATCTTCTTCCTTCTCATCTTCATCTGTTGTAAGACCTTCAATGTTAGCATTTGATGGTCTGACCTTTTCTTTTGCAATTTCGGATAAATTCTCTTCGAGACCATCTTGTTGGTGGCTGTCTTCTATATCACTGGCTTTCTTATACTCAGAAAAAGAGCCATCTTCAAGAATCTTTTGAGGATCTGAAGATTTCGGATCTTCTTCTTCCTCTTCATAGTATTCAAATGTTCCAGAATCTGAATTTTCATCGTTTTGGAGTGATGATAAAGATACCTCATCAGAATCAACAGGTGGATCAAAATTATCTAATGACAATGATACTCCGAGGTTTGGTAATCGTGATGGAATACGTTCGCGGTCAGCTTGAGTAAGTTCTGGAGATTTTGTTAAATTTTCTTTTGGTTTTGTTTCTTTTTCTGTTATTTTTTCGTCTTCGCTTACTTCTTCTTCAGCCATTACATCTGCGAGCATTGATTTGAGTTTTTCGTTCACAATTTGCTCACGAATCGGAGGAGGATTCTTTGGAGTTAAAATTGAGTTTGTAAATGATGGCCCTCTATTGTCTAGTGTCTTCTTTGGAATTGGTGATACATCAGAAGAATTTTCGCTGACTATTGAACTATTTTGCATTAAATCAAAATGATGATTGTGAACAGGTGATCCGGATGGTATTGCAGAATAATTCTGAGTATTCTTGCTATCAGCGTAAACGGAAATTGAATGAGTATTTGAAGTTGCACTAGATTTTCTAAAAGGTTTATGAGCTTTTGAAGGAGACCGAGTGGATTTGACATTACTTTCGTTGGCAAGTTTAGATCTGGATTTTGTGACTCTGTTGTTAGATTGAGTAATATATGAAACAAAAGAATTTCCTGGTTGCGGAATTTCACTCTTGGAGCTTATCATATTTCGTATTTCGCATTGAGTCTTGGTTGGAGAGTAAAAATATTCGGATTCGTTGATTGATGAATTAATTTCTGAAATTGTTTTCTTTGGACTCTTTACAATTACTGTTTGTGATGGTGTTGGAACACATTGATATTTAGATTCTTCTGGTTTTGTTGGGCTATATAAAGTTTGAAGCACATTTACTGGTCTGGGTTGATTATTCGTCATTAACAAAATAGATTTATGCATACTAGTTGGTTTGGAAGAAGGGCTTGAAATATCAGAGGAATTTATGCTAGAATTTGAGTTAACGGAAATCTTATTTGAAACAAATGAACTATCTGGACGCTTTACTGTATATGTCGATGTATTTATTTTACTGGAATTCAAATCATAGCCACCTGGTCTGCGAGTTCTGTGATTCAAATAAACTTGAATATTTTGTTCTTTTAACATTGATGCGCTTTTGCCGTTAATACTTGATTCGGATCTCGAATTTGCTGAGGAAGTGCGACGAGAACTCATCAATAATCGTGATAAAATTTGTCAAATTTTTAAGTAATCATGTCAGTTAATAATTATTCCGCGATTATTCAAAAATTGAAATGAGTTAAATGGTTTATGCGGAATTATAATAGATATTCCGTATCTTTTAAAATTTCCGCTATGTATATTAGGTATTCGTATATTCCAAACGCATTTCAAACTTTCTGTTTTATAAAGAATATGGAATTATTGATGCACTTACCCCTCTATGACAATTCTTTCAATTCAGATGTTTAAGGTTAATTTTCAATGACACTTCACACCAGTTGCCAAAATTTTGAATTAAGATCAGATTGGCGTGATTGATCGTCTATCAAAATTTCGAATAAGAGACTTTACGAAGGAAAAGGAGCTTAGACAAATCTGATGATTTCGAAAAAAAAAATGATTTTAAGGGACCACTGCACAGCCAAACAAGGTTCATCGTCATTCATGTCAAAAGTTTTTGTAAAAAAAATTGGAGTTGAATATGGTGAAACGAACAAAAAATTATTAGAAGAAATATATGATAAAATAGATGACAAAAATGAATCTCTTAAATTTGTTACATCAAATATCGATGAAAGTAAAGAAATCATTAAAAAAAAACACAAAATACATGAATCAAATGGAAAAATAATCAACAGAGAAGGATATTTCTCACAAGACAATACAATTCCTGACTGGTGGAATTCAAATCACTCAAAATGTTTCATATCTGAAATGTCAAATTTGAAAAATCACTATTTATGAAATGATGCATCATCTCCATTTTTGGGGATTATTCCATTGATGCAAAAATGGAAATTAATTATGTCAAACTGTCCAAACTGTAACGTTTATTGTTTCTAAATGAAATGGAAAATAAAAGTCGTATTTCTTTTGCCAGCAAAATTTGTGATATTTTTTGAATCGACAAATCCGAAAAGTGACCACAGTTATCCAAGCTGTCCATTTTCTGCTGGAGATTCATTGACGATGGAGAATTTCGGACAGATATATGATGGTGAAGGATACTGTCGGAGATTGACAGCATATCCAGTTGGATTTCGCAACGAAAGGAAGTTCAGACTTACAGAAAGCAATAGATGTTCTCAGATCATCAGAAGTGAAATTATAAGGAAAGAAAGAGGAAAAAGTCTTTTCAAGAGAAGTTTCTTCAAGTGATGCATGGACTAAGGAAATGGGCAAAACCTACAGATCTGAGAGAATTGATCCTAGAATGACAAAACTATCTGCATCTCAACACTTCTGACTTACTTTTCCTTGCATCTGCAAAGTTATCAATAGCATGGAATCTGACCTAAAAAGCAAAGATATTGAAAGGCAACTCTATCAACATTTGATACTTTACAAACTTTTTCAATTCGTCCATTTAATTTTCAGATGCTTTCAAAAAAAAAAAAATATTGAAAAAGTGTATAAAGTATGCAAAATATATTATGATATTTTTATATAATAGGCAAGTCCATGTACTGTTTTAATGTCCATAAACTAAGCTTTGTCAATGGACTTGCCTAATATTCATTTTGTTTTATTTATTTTATATTTTCTTAAAAGATATATCTTTAAAAAGTCTGTATACGGTATGGAAAATCAATTGAAGAAATGAAATGTTTACTCTTAAATAATGCTGTTTCAATATATCTAAAATAAAAATTTTCAATTCTTAGCACCATGTTCAACTAAGAATTTCATAATTTCTATTGAATTCGCTTTGATTGCAATACTAAGAGGGCATTCATTAACATAGAGAGAACTTGATTCAACAATGAAAATAGTAGTATATGTTGAAGGGTTTTGTGACTTTTTTGTAAACGTAAGAATTCATACATTTTTGAGCGATTTTGTATCATTTTTTTTTACATATGAAGTAAAAAATGTATGATTTTTACGGTTTTTATTCTTACGTTTTTGAATAAATCAAGATTTAAAAATTTTCAGAATCGTAAGAAATTTTCACTAAACCCATACATAATGAAATAAAAATAAAAAAAAATAAAAAAAATAAACTTTAAAAATTCATGTCTTACATTTTTTGAATAATTTATTTTTTTAATTCGTATGAAAATGAGTGTCAAGACTAACGACGTTAAAAAATTGGGATTCACAAACGAGGAAATAAAGGATATATTAGAGGAGGCGAGTTATGAAGTTAATAAATATTATTTAAGAAATTGTCAAAAATTCGCGGAGTTATTAAATGATTTAGATTATGATGGAAAAATGAATAAAGATGATGTTATAAATTTCTTATATCCCACATCTGAAGAAGAAAAACCTAAAGAACCTGATGTTTTCCCTGAATATTATGAAGAACGGATTAAAGATGATGAATATGATGAAATTGAAAGACTGGAAAAAATAAGAGATGAAATAGATGAAAAAATTAAGGAATTAAGAGAAGTTGAAAAATATAATGAGAATGAAGTAGAGGGTTTAATGAATATCCCAGCTTCAGAATCAGAAGTTCAAAAATCTCATGAAGAAAGATATAAAAATTACTTTTTGGAATCTACTAAAAATTTATTAGATGGTGAAATAGATGAAACACTTTCAGAAGAAGGCACAAAATTTATTCATAAACATAAGTTACAATTTATTGACGATGGAGATTATCCATGTATATTACTTTCACCTCCTCTTGATTCTGAAAAATTCAAAAAAGCACTGAAAAATGTAACATATGCAACAAATACGATTAAGAAAGAAGACCATGATATTTACACAAATTATTATTTAAATAAATGTGCAGGTGTTGATAAAGTTTTTGATTTGTTAGATAAAATATCAAAAGAAACAATTGGTACATATAAAATTTTATGCGATTGTGGTTTCATTATTGAAGATACTAATAATGTTTCATATGAAAGAACAGCACCGAAGGAAGACGAAGTTGAAAGGTCTATACCATTCGTTATTAAGAATATAAAAGATATGAAAACTTATAAACATTATATTTATTCATTTATTTCAGAAAAAATGGAAGCAACCCATAAAACATCATCTCATCATTTTATAGCTATTCATACATTCCTTTTCAAAGTTGTGAAATTAAATAAGACAGGAATTAGATTTAATGTATCAGGGTACGCATTCTTGAGTAAATTAAAATGTATTCGTCACGTCGCAGATGATAAAAATTTATGTGTTCTTAATTCATTTTATGGACTTTAGCCCTGGACTTTAAAAAAAATAAACTTTATTTTTATTTATTTTTTAATTTTTTATTCTTACATAAATGAACAAAAACGGAACAGCTAAAATGAATGATAATCAAATAAGAGCCGAAGGTAGAAGGTTATTTAAACGCTTCTATAACATTCCTGATGGTGTTAATCCTAAAACTCGTAGAAGTTATTTAAATGAAGCCATAGATGCATATGAAGGATTTGACATTTCATCAGAAAGTGAGAGGTTAGCAAGAATGTTAAACGTTAATATTGATTTTTATTATTGTGACCCTCAACCAGAAGACGTAGACATAAATAAGGTAGACTTTCCATTAGTGGAATCAATAATGATAGATCCAGAATTTGAAACAGTAAATATTTTATTAACACAGAGTCCATGTGGAAAACTTCACGCTGACAGAATTACAGACGTTGAAGCACTCACAGGATATAAAGTTTGCCCCTTTTGCAAAGAAGAAGTATATTCTATCCGTGATGACCCAGAAAGGAAAAACCAAAGAAGATTTTTAAAGCATTGTGAGAAATGTAAAGAAAATAATGGAAGATTAATTCAAGACGTTCAATTGCAAAACACACAACAACCATATGCACCACATATCACGAAACAGAAGATATATCAATGGCTATTAGCACATAATTTGCAGGAATATTATAAACCAACAAGATATTATATTACTTTTGACTTCGAAACATTAGAGACTAAAGAAGAACTTCAACTTTCTGAATGTGCAACTTTGAACGCTTACTTAAAACCATTTATGGTATCATCAACTGTCAAAATAAAGCCGCAAACGGACTCTTTGAGTCCTGAAGGTCTTTCAGACCGAAGCGGCGAGGTCGTAGACCGTGATAAAACATTTACGAGGAATTTTTGCTTAACATCAAGTGATTCGTTCATCTCTGATTGGATTGAATTTTTATTTTCAACCTGTTCATTAGTTGCTAAATCAAATATTGAACAATATGAAGAATTAATGAAGCCGCAAACGGACCAAACGGCGGGGACTTTGTCCCATACATTAAATGAAAAACAGAAGGAAGCATTTAAAGAACTTCTAGATGAGGAATTCAATAAAGTGAATATCATAGGTTTTAATTCGGGAAAGTTTGATTTAAATTTAATTCTTCGTGATTTAAACACTGCAAAATGGAAAATAAAATCAATGCTGGGTTCTTCTTCTCAATTTAAGCAAATCATTGTAAAGAAAACAAACTGTCCATATGAATTAAGATTTATTGACATCAGAAATTATATAGCGGGTGGAACATTAGACCAATTCACTCAAGATTTCGGAAACAATAAATCACGTGTTAAATCCTTTTTCCCTTATCAATTCATCACATGGGAGAATTACGAAGATGAATTATATAAAGTGGAACCATTCACTCAAGATTCATTTTATTCAGCATTAACTCAAGAAACAATATCCGATTCAGATTATCAAATATATCTCAATGATGCTAAAAATTTTGAGAATAGATTAGAATATTTTATTCATTATTGCAATAAAGACGTTGAAATTATGATTGACCCAATTGATAAAATTATTGAAGAAACATTTGTTTATAAAATTGACATGCTTCATAATCTTTCTTTATCATCGAATGCATCAATGATTCGTTACGCGTTAGCATATAAGAACTTCAATCCTAACGAAACATATCCAGAAGAAGAAAATGTGGAATCAAGTTTTGAATTAACAAAAAAGTATTGGAAATATAAAATTGATTCATATAAGAAACAAGATGAAAAAGCAGAAAGGGATACTAAAAACAATGTTTCAATGGATGACTATCAATACTATCACGATTTAATCCTTTCATCTAAATGCAAAATGTGTGGTAAAGCGTTTACATATGCTAATAAACCAACATTAGATAGAATCGATAATGAAAAACCACATACCAAAGAAAATTGTCAGTTAATGTGTTGTTATTGCAATGTCGTAAAATCAAATAAAGATGAAGATGTTCAACGTTTAAGAATCAATTTAAGAAATTATACATTAAAAAATAATTTACCAATGACTCTAGATTCAGTTGAAGCTTATCACATCCTCCGTAATGGAATTACTGGTGGTTTATCAAATGTTCAACATAGAGTAAATCTTAAAGGAATCACGCACATTAATAAACTTTCATATAATCCAGAAACTAAAACTGTATCAAATGAGGACACTTCCAACATTATGACTCATTTCGTTGGTGTTGACTTTAATTCATTATATCCTTCATCATTTTCATCTAATCCTCATGATTTCATTCAATATACTGACCATAAAATGTATATGCCGGGAAGATTGAATGGTGTTATCATTTGTGATACAGCAACAAAGAAAGCAAAAGCACTGGGAATAATTAAGAAGAAAAATACTTTATTCGTGGCTGAAGTAAAGGGTCACATTGATGAAAAATACATTAATGATTACATAAACTTTTTACCAATAATAAGAAACTTTGATATTATCACAGATGAAAAAACAATTGGTGGTTTTATGTATAATTACATGAAATCAAACAATCTACCAGTTGACCAGAAACAGAGGAAATTAACTCAGTTAGCATCAACACACAACCAATATCAACCATTTTCTTCTTATTATCTTTGGTATCTAATAGACAGATTTCATTTTATCATTGATGACATTCAATCAATTTTAACATTTACGAAAAATACTTGTTTTAATGAATTTGCGAATGAATTTATGAACGAAAGACAAAAGGCTGAATTAGAAGGAAATAAAGGAAAAAGTTTATTTTGCAAGATTTCACTTAATGGATCATATGGTTACGATGCAATGAATACACAAAATTACGCAAAGACTAAAATAATGAATGCACAGAAGGCACGCGTTGCATGTATGTCAAATAAGTTTAAAAACATAAGAGAAATAGGAGAGGATACGTATCAAGTGATGCTTAAAGATAGATTTTATAGATGTGATACATGTTTACAAGAGGCATTCTTCACTTTAGATAACGCAAAATACTGGTATTTGGTTTTCATTTATGATTTTATGTATAAATGCATGGATGTTAATCGTTTTCATTTCATTGAAGGTGATACTGATTCATCTTATTGGGCAATCGCTGGCGACCCAAATCTTCCTAACACTCAAGCATTTCAAGCAATTGTAACCGATAAAAAATTTTATGATAAAAACATTTACAAATTCGCACCTTTTGATTTCTTCTGTTTTAATGAGAAATTTAAACCTAAATTAAAGAATAAAGCTGAAGAAAAAGCACATGAGAAGAAGTTATTGGGTTTAGCAATTGAGAAACAAGGTGATAACATGGTTGCTTTATGTCCTAAGTGTTATACTTCATTCAACGGTTCAATTGATGGAAGTGATTTTAAAAAGATTGCACAAAAAATGAAAGGAGTTAGTTTACGACAAAATAAACAATTAACACCTAAAAATTATTTGGATATAATAAATGATAAAGTGATATTTGATGGTCAGAATATTAATTTACAACTTAAAAACGGGTCAATGACTCGCTTAACAATCGGTAAGACTGCATTAACAGGAGCACACACTAAGGCTGTATGTTGTGAAAATGGATGTTGTATGCCATTTATTTAATAAAATGCCACAGAAGAGACAAAAGGAACCGTAAATAATGGTTTTGATACTATGATTCAAAGAGGCGGGCACCCTTAAAACACTTATTTTATTTTTATATAAATGAATAGCGTAGATTTAAAAAATTTAATTGATGATTTAGTACTTAATCAAAATTTTCTTAATTATTATGAATTAAAATCATATCTCCAAAAACATGATAACAATATAACGGGTGATGATATGGATTATTATTATTCGTATTATAAAAATGAAGTTTTGAAATATCATGATAAAATAATTTCTAAAATTAAAGACAAAATTAAAAATAATGAATATTCAAAGGGAAAAAGTAAATCACAACTTAAACAATTGAAAGATTTCAAAAATAAAGTATTAACAGAAGAAGATATTGATGAATTATATAAATTATATAAATTATATAATCCTGAGCCGCAAAAACCAAAGGAACAAAAACAAAAGGTGCAAAACGCCCAGGTCCTTCAGACCATAAATGAAGCACAAGCTTTAATTTATGATTCATTAGTTAAACCATATTCAGCCCGACTTTTAAATGAAGATCAACTTTTGGAATTCATCCTTCAACATAAACTCGAAGCGGGAAAGTATATCAAACCTTTATATACAGCATATTTAAAACAAATGAATAGAATACATCCAGAATTAATGAAGGGGGGAATGAAATCCAAAATCAAAGCAGATAAAATTAAACCACCTGCAACACCAAACCCTCCAACGACAGTACCTCCTCCTCCTTCAGTTAATCCTTCATCATTCACTTTATTATATCCATTTCAAACATTAAAGAAGCAAAAAGATTTTAAAAAGGATTTCAAAATATTAAATAAACCAACTGACCCAAAAATTCAACCGTTAAAGGAAAAATTTAGTCGCCCTTCATTTGCACCATATCCATATTCATACGAAATCGATCATTTAGAATATTCAAGAGGAAACGTTACTTATTTATTTGCCATTAACATTAACACCAGATATTTATATTGCATTCCGGTGAAAGGGAAAACAGAACAGGAAACAAGAAGAGCTATTCAATACTTACTAGATCATGAAAGAGTAGATAATATAAGGGGTGATGGTGATAAAGGATTTCAGGCAGCTATGGCTCATTATTTCCCACAAATTAATTTTTACTTTTCATCCTCTCCATATACGTTTCATAATAAAATAGTTGATGCGGTAATGAGAACTCTTAGAGATGCGTTAGGGGTTAATGGTCAGATATACTGGGATGGAAATCATGACTCCATCATACAGCAGTTAGTATATTATTACAATAATACATGGCATAGAACAATAAACATGAAACCGGTGGAAATGAAAAATGATATTTCAAAAGAATGGGAATATATTAGAAAGCAAATGGAAAGGTTGAATGATGTTAAACGTGAACAAATTAATTCGGGGCTCATGAATTTTAAACAAGGGGATAAAGTTTTGATTCATCTCGATTATGGAAAAACTGATAAATCAATGACAAAAAGAAGACGAAGATTTGACACAATAGCTGAATTTGTTAGATATATTAACGGCAATGCATTAGTTGAAGTTGACAATAAATTAATAGAAATTCCGATTTATTTTATTACTCCATTATATTTAAATAATATTTAATTTTTTTATTTCGTAAGAAATGAGTAACAACGAAGCAGTCAAGAGTCCAGACGATGAATATAAAAGAAACTAAACAGAATTAAATCAAAAATATGTTATTACAAAAAGAAGCCACAATGTGGTGGGGTTGAAAACGATAAAGAGAGGAAAGAAATAATCGAAAAATTAGAAACTTATCGTTCAATCCTTAAACTGAGTGAAGCAAAAATAAAAGAATTTAATAGAATAAATAAATTGATTGGAAGAGATGAATTTAATAAAGATGAATTTTTAAACTCTATCCAAATTTAATTTTTATTCCTCTTCGACAACATCTCTCTTTCCATCATTACCGCATAACCACATTTTCTCAATTTTAGTGGTTTGTTATTTTTAACATGTTCTTGCATCATTTTTATCATTTCCTCCCTTGTTATGATTCGTGGTAAATTTTGAGCTTGTGGGGTATTCATTTATGATAAAAATAAAAATTTGTTATCACTTATTTTATCGTGAATGTTTTTAGGTTATTCAATAATTAATTATTTTTGAATAACTGGGAAATAAATTTACGTCAAATATGCAATTTATAAAATCTTATGTCGACAGGCTACGTAGCACAGTGGTCTAAGGTGGTGTTATGGAGGGGTCAAGGTCTGTGGTTCGAACCGCGACAGCGCCGTATTTTCTTATTTTCTTTATTTGTCTTGTTTGTCGTGAATAAAAAGTATCATAAAAGTGCTCTATCTTCCACGGGAATAAATAAAAAATTTACTTTATTTCTTCTTTATTTCTTTGTTCCCGTGGAAGAAGGGTTTTGCTGTTTTTTCTCAGCCGAAATCAATGATTTTTTCATTTTTGGAATCCTTAGCGAATGAGGAATCTTTTCTCTCGTGGAAGCTTTGACCTAAAATATAATTTAGGTGAAGAGGTGAGATATCACCTGTTTTTTCACCTGTTTTTATGGTAGTAGTGAAATAAAATTTTGTTATCAGTTATTTTATCATCATTTTATTAAGTTCATCTTTAGTTAATAATTTGAATGGATTCGCTAATGTTCCACCTTGAGTCACAACACTTGCCCCGGCTAATTGTGAAGAACCTGGGATAAGTACTCCATGAAATGATTTCATTGGTATCATTAATTTAGAAATAGTTGGCTTAATTAATTTGGTCATTTATGATAAAAATAAAATTGCATAATTTAAATTTTTTTTCTTTCTCATTTTCTCATTTTCTCATTTTTCATTCTGTTTTGGTTTCAGCAACTTTTCAAGTTGTTGTCTTGTCAGTAACTTTAATTTTAACTTTGGATCAAATATTGGGTTTCCATCTTTATCTCTTCCAATAACACCATATGGTAGAATCTTCATTTATACTAAAATAAAAATTTAAATTATGCTGTTTGCTCTTTTGGAGCTCCTAAAGTTTGTTTCACAAACATTGAGCGTTCATTGAACTCTATACCATGCGAATACAGTCATAAATGGTGGCATGTAATCTTTACTTTGTCCCGTTGTTTGTGTATATCCTGAACGCGATGTGTATGGTTTCCTTCTCCTGAGTGTCACTCCAGTAACAATTTATGGCAAATTTAACATCATCTTTAACATCATATCCTTTACCTTTTGTCATTCCTGACCAATCCCAATATCTATGCTTATGCCAACCTGCTTGAGATGTGCTTAAATCTATGTAGTGACTGTGTGCAGGTAAATTTTCACCCGTAATTGTTTTACTTCCCCTGTTTCCTTTGAAGAGTTTGCACAATACAAAAACCTGTCGACTATTTGTTCCCATGCACCAACACCAAACATTGCTTGAGGACCTCTCACATCCATAGATGTATAAATAGAACCTACTGGGTTCATTAAATCAAACATATGAGATATTATAGGATTGTCTCTTTTGAACTTAAAATATAGTGTAACTATTTCGGGTTTCTTCTGGTTTGTGTCAGAATATTTTTTATAATATAATCTTATGTTTTCAGGGTATGTAAAATCTTGACTATAATATTTATTTTTGTCATCTTCATAATAGTATACTATTCTCGTTTTTTCTATTGCATTATATCTTTTATATCTATAATAATCTAAATATAATGTTTGCTTTTTTGGGTCTACATGTGCGTCAACACCATAGTCATAATAATACGGTGCTGGAGCTACGTTAGACAATGTCATATCCGTCATTTCATAAACTCTTAAATATTTCTTTTGTTCGTCTCCATATAAGTTTAAGTAGCAGTTGTTGTCTAATGGAACTTTAACTTGTGTGCCATTATTCTTTATATAGCCTACATACATTTCATTGTTATTTTTCGGAATGAGTTTATACCGTATACCATTTCTTAAGGACTGTACAAACTCCCATCTAAAATATTTGTTTTCTTCATTGACAGAAAAGTCGCCAACAATAGTTTCAATATTTTTTGTTCCAACTAAACTTTGGTATATTTCGTTAACAAATGATATATCTGCTTTCTTTGCTAACTCATCGTTAACATATTCCTTATCTGCCTTCTTTGCTAACTCATCGTTAACATATTCCTTATCTGCTTTCTTTGCTAACTCATCGTTAACATATTCTTATCTGCTTTCTTCCCTAACTCATCGTTAACAAATGATATATCTGCTTTAAGGTCTAAACATTCTGAAACCCATCCTGTATCAGCTTTAGTTTTAAGAATCTTCGATGTCCGTTCATGATACCATTCAACCCTTTCTATAATTTCATTATCTTTTTCATTAACATATTCCTTATCTGCCTTCTTTGCTAACTCATCGTTAACATATTCCTTATCTGCCTTCTTTGCTAACTCATCGTTAACAAATGATATATCTGCTTTCTTTGCTAACTCATCGTTAACATAAGTTTTATCTGCTTTCTTTGCTAACTCATCGTTAACAAATGATATATCTGCTTTCTTTGCTAACTCATCGTTAACATATTCCTTTCTTTGCTATCTCGTTAACATATTCCTTATCTGCTTTCTTCATTATGTCATTTAGGAAACCTTTTATGAATTCCTCATTTAAATTAAATCTTCCAATCTTCAAAACTTTAGGAAATGCATTTAATGCGTAATATCTTTGTTCTTCTGGTGGAATTGATGTTATATCATCCGTTATTCCTTTAATTTTTGAATTCATAAATAAAATTTCTTTTATATTTGATATCACTGCACCACCTTTGCAAACGAATTCGAAATGGTCATTTTTCAATACTATCTCCAAATCTCCATATTTCAACATTTGCGTTTGTTCTGCCGTCTTTGAATTATATGCATATATGGCGTATGTAATGGTCTGTGGTTGCTGTTGTTTAATCATTTATTACGATTTAAAAATAAATATTTAATCTGTTATCTCATCAGCTATTTTTTCTATTTGAAATTGCCATAATATTTCATTCATAAATTCTAAATCACAATCAAATAGGTCAGTTATTCTAAATTTAATATTTGATAAATCTTTTGAATGAAGAATAAATGAATTCCCGGATAATTGAAACGGATATGATAAAGAAAATATGTTTAAGTTGATGGATAAAATGTTTTGTATTGATGGGTAAGAGTTAGGGTCTAATGTTTGATGTGAAAATCTCATTGGGGTATTAACTTTATCACATTTGATTAAAATGAAATTAGAACCAGTGTCAGAATACAAAACATCCCCAACATCTTTTTCAAAATTTAATATCCCCAACAATGAACGAAGACGAGGAGTACAAAATTTAATTTTCAGCGGAAATTTAATAAGGTTATTTATTTCATCAAGTTCAAAAAGTTTATCAGGTTTTGATTTAAAATTTTCTTCATACCATACGATAAATGATTCATTTAAATAACTTAAAATCATGTTAATATCCCATTTCGTTATCACATTATTTATATACATATCATACGTTTTTAGGTCTACGACCCCGCCGCTATGCGGCTCATGGTCATCTTTAATAAATGATATATAATCTGAAGGGTCTAAAAGAATGGGATTAAATTTACCACTCACAGAAACGAGAGTAACATTATAAATTCCGCTAACTGTTAAATTTAATTCACAGTTATTATTCGAAATAATATTGATAATTGACATTTTTTTATTACGATTAAAAATATGGTAAAGCGTTATTTTCCAGTGATAAATAAAACTAGAATAAGATTACCTCAAGAATTCATAAATTCAACGAATAAGAAATTCATTCATGTTATAAATTTTAGTGTTTTCAGAAAATATGAGTCGATGTCATATTCATCATCAGGTTATATTTCACTTCATTCAAATTTAGTTCAATCAAACCCATATAATGACCATTTCATAAGATTTTCAGATGGTATTAAAAATGTAATTGATAGATTAAAATATGAACAGATTGACAATATCGAATTTTTGGAATTTTGGTTTAAATATCCCGATGGAAAAAAGATTGAAGTTAAAGATAAAGCTGATACTATAACAAAAACAATTACAATGACCGATCCGGATAGTGGGGAACAAAAAGAAATAAAACAAACGATAGAAACTGGTGAAAGGTCAATTATTATCGATTATGATTCAAAGGATTATTATTCGATAATGTTAATGCTTGAATATTAAATAGCCTTAACAAAGAATTTTTCAAGTGATATTTTATATTCATCAACTATTTTATTATAAATATCATTATATGTTAAATGAAGTTCAGTTGTTGTTCCGTTCTTTGATATCTTAATTGTGCTAATATCCTTTATAGGATTTATTTTTGCAACTGTTCCGCAGCATGAAACCTCATCATCTATGAAAAATTGAATCTTCACGTCTGAATCTTGAACATCACAAAGAATGGCGATAATGTGAATTAATGATTCATAAGGTAAAATAATTAAACCGGATTGGTCAATTAAATTTATTATTGAATCATAATTATCAGTTATGATATCACGGTAAATTTTCATTAATTCAGAATTAATGTCTATTTTATATGGCGCATTGCGACTGTAATCGTAGATTCCTGGGTTCTCGATGTTTGATGAAAGAGGTGGGGGGTATGTTGGATAAGTGGGAATTTCAACAGGTTCTTTACCAGGTTCAGATAAAATGATTGGGTCTCCATTCTCATGGTTTTCTTCATTCTCCTCATTCTTCGGTAAGTCACGAGTTAATAAATTTGGTTGAGTTGCTGACCTTGTTAATTCAGGACTAACATTAACTTTAACATTTTGAATAATTCGTGATTTATCATCATTTACGTTATAACCAACCGTAATCTCTGCTTTTGCGTTAGTGTTCTTTTGACTAGTGAAACGTCTTCTCATTTATATTCGAATAAAAAAATATATTTAAACTTTTATTTTGCTGGAACTTTTGAATCTATTATTTCCTGTATTTGTTCATGAAGTTGATTTTTAGCATTTTCATCGAAATTAATAGACCGAATATATTCATTAATTGCATTCTTATAATCATCTGATTTCTCAAATTTTCTTTTATCTGATTCCTTAACTAAATCATAAGTTAAACCTCGTTGCTGATATAATGGTTTCTTAATTAAATCTTTGAATGCTTGAGATAAAGCACCTGATGCAATTCTTGCTACTATAATTGGTTGGAATTGCTGTTTAAGTTCATCTTTAACATTTGCGAAAACTGGATCGAATAAAGCAACTTTAAAGAATTTCTTAGCTGGAATTTCAGGTCTTAAATTTGCATATTGACCATCAAACTGGTTAGAATATCGTGGTAATCCATCCGGTCCCTCTTCAATAGCATTTAATTCTTCATTGAAGTAAGAATATGGATTATGACGGTATGAATTAATTGGACCATTTTCACCTTCTCCAATGTATTGTTTAACAGCTTTTCCATTTTCATCAAATTGCATAGGATAATGTTCATTATATGCTTTACGTTTAGGATAATCCGTCATTGTTAATTTATACCCATTTATGACTTTAATATTTCCTTGACCATCAGTAACGAAAACTTCATTTATTCCATCAGGTTTTCCATTTGGACCCGTAATGTCTGCTTCGTGTGCTTCCCAATTTGGTCCGTGACGTTTGGCATATGCTTGAGCTTCTGGTAATGTTAAAACGTTTCTCATTTGTTTAACATCCTTTTGAAGACCGGCAACAATGTGGACTAATTCTTTCATTCCGTCTGGAACTTTCATAGTTCTATTATATGCACCCTTTTTGTTTGTTCCTTGTTTTAATGGAACCTGTAGAAGATTTGCAATTTCTGTCATGTTTAATTATAAATAAAAAATAAAAATTAATTATAAAAAGTTATTCGAATTTAATGGAACCTTTATTTAAATCAACTATTATTTTTCCATGTTCTCCTAATTGTTGATATTGTGTGTAAAGTTCATTAATGCTCATTGGTAAATTCACTTGATAAAGCATAACGTTCAACTGTTGACGACTAAAACCACTGAAAATGAAAAGGGTGGACAGGTTTGATTTAATGTTTGTGCTTAATGCTTTAAAGTATTGAACAGCCATGAAGAATGAACACTGAATGTGTCGACATTGAGTTAATAATTGATTAAAATATGATTTCTCATTAGTTATTAGTTTTGATTTCACCGCATCATCTAGAAAAATGAGTGAATGCAAAAATTCTCTATCAAAATTTGAAATAGAAAGTGTTTCAAATAATTCATCCCGTTGTTTATCAATAATTTTATCCTCTAATCCTTGCTTCTTGATTGTATTATATAATTCTTTATACATTACAAAGTTTTTTAAATAATCTTCTGCTTCTTCTTGTGATAAATAAATAATTGGAATTTTGATTAAATGCTTTAAAGATTCAAATGTATCATCTGAAGGTGAACCTGAACGGTTGATATAAATTAACACATGTGAATAGGGTGAAGTGTTAGCAATAATGATAATTTGTTTTAATATCGTTAATGTTTTACCTTTATTTTGTTTACCAATTGCTGCAGTGATTGAATTTAAGTAACATTCAGAATATGGAATTTTCATTAATTTTTCCTTAGATAGAGCATTTCTATTATCACTCAATGCTTCATTAATCATATCATCTACGTATGTATTATATACTCCTGCTAATTCTTCATAAGGGGTGGATGAATTTAAATCCATTTAATCAAAAATAAATTTATAATTTTAAACATTTCTATTCATCAATATTTCATCATATGAACTTCTATACTGCGGTGGTGTACCTGTTGGATGATATTTCAAACCTTCATCCGGTGTCCATGTCCAATATGTAGTCCTAGTAAACCAAACCTGAGGAGGATTTGTCACTTTTGAACAGTAAGTGTCATTTTCACCCTGAATGATTGGATAAGCTTTCACTTGTACTGTAACTTGTGAGTTGAAAGTTTCTAATCCATCAAAGAATATACCCGCTCCATCACGTTGAACTGGAATAGTGCATAAGAATGAAGTTTGGTCTTTCCATGTTCTAGCTAATGGTGTGCCATCATCATCATTCAGTGGTCTAGTTAATGAGTCCTCGTATTCTTCTGTGCATTCATTCACTCCATCTAAATCAGAAGCTTGAAGCATACGTGTAAAGAATATGTCACCCACTGTGGTCATCGCTTGATCGGGGAAGTTTCTGGAATCTATAGTGACCTGAAGACCTCGAAGCATTGGATTTTCTAAAACCGTTCTTTGCATTGCATTCTTCGGAAATGTTAACACAACATCTGTAACATTATGAAGAGCGTATGAGAAATCTGAGCTAATACCTTCAGGAGTGATGCAACCTCCATTTAGTGAACGAACGTCAATATGTTGAGCTGGAATCATGAATGGATCTTCCTTACTAAATAAACGTGGTATTGCTTTAACTGATTCTTCAATTAAACCGTATCCTGGTGTAATGCATTTATCCTCTAAAACTTCCATCTTTGTGCATGAAATAATAACGTCTTCAACTGTTGCGTCAGCAGATGTAGCGGCTAAGCTTGTAATTAATTTGGCAGGAAGTCCGATTTGTTGGAATTTGCGATCATATTTATAAACATGATTCATAATCTTTTCATAATTTTCATCAGTTATCTTTTCATAAACGTAATTTTGTAAATCAGCAACTCTTAACGGGTCAACCTGACAAAATACTAAAGTATCCCTGAAAACATAATATTTAAGAATGATTTCACCAAATGATTTAGGATAATCATCGAACGCCTGAAATGCTAACAAATCATTTACCGGAATAATCATATCAAAAGTGACATCAACTTCTTCATTTGCTTTCTTGAAAACTTCTGAAGGGTCAATATATTTACCACATACTGAGTTATCATATTTTTGAACATTATTATATAACGAATGAACAAACTTTTTAACTTTCCTTTCTGATTTTGGTTTATATGTTGCAAATGCGAAAGATTCACGGGCGCAATCCATCTGAAGATAACCAGCATCACCTCTTTCGGTTTCTACTTCTAATTGCTTAAAGCTTTGATTTGATGATTTATAACCAACGAATAAACGCATGCATTTAAAAGCGGCATCACATGTGAAAGCTTTATTTGAAACTAGAGTTGCTTTAACTTTGCGTTTAATATATGTGTCACCTAATTGGTTCACATCATGAGCCGGATTTGTAATTCTTAAATGAGTTTGTTTATCATCAAAATATGGAGCATCAGAGTCATAGCATGAACTTTCAAGTTCTCTATAATATCTTCTTCCATCATTCTTTGCGAATATTTCATTTATCTTTTCGAATGAATGAAATACATTTCCATTAATCGGTTTAGTGTTTGGCACTAAATAGTTAGTCGTCATTTATTATTAAATAAAAAATCAAAATTAAAAGATGAAAATGAATTTTTAATTTTAATGAAATAATCAACTATGGCTGCAGGATTCTTTAAGAAACTGTGGGATAAAGTAAAAAGAGGAGCGCATAAAGTTTGGGAAGGGATTAAGAAAGGAGCAAATTGGATATTTAAGAATAAAGAAGCAATTAGTGACGTTGCTGAACAAATAGCACCTAATGTTCCGGTAAGGGAAGTATTAAATAAAGGAGATAAGGTTTATCGTCGACTACAACCGATACTAAGATAAAAATAATATTTATTTATTTTTCCACTATCTACCCCCTATTTTATTAAGTATTCCTTCAGCAATTCCACCAACTGCGTTACCTGCTTGTGCTCCCATCGCCGGATTACCTGCTTTAGCACCTAATACTCCTCCTATGATAGTTCCTGCCGTTTTCGCTACTGGTGCCAAAAAGTTTGCAACGGGTTTAATAATCTTTTGATGAACCCAACTTGCAGCTTTCTTAATTCCTTCCCATAATTTTTTAAAGAATCCTGCCGCCATCTCTGATTTAATATTAATTAAAAAATATATTTCATCACTTATATTCTAATTTTTTATTTAATGATAAATGAAACCGATTTTAAAAATAAATGAAACAGAGGAGGAAGAAATAAATGAAAGTGAAAATGTTCAACAAAAAATAAACGTTGTTAAACCAATTACTGAAATAAAAATTTTTTCATCTGTTGATGAATTTAATGACTATTATGCTAATAATAAAAAATTATTTGAAGAATTGACAACATGTAAATTGAATAAAATGTTTAAAGTTGAGGACAGAGTCCAAGACCCGGAGGGTCATGGATTCAAAATTTCAAAAATAAAAGGTGTTGTTAGTTTAAAATCTATTCCTCAATCAAGAATCACCTCATTAATGAAAATTGATGATTTAACAAAAAGAATAGAAATTATTGAAGAGCGAATAAATCAAATTATTGATTTCATAAATCATGACTCGTTGAGCCCGGGTCCTTAAAGCTCAAGGCACAAAGTGCCCAGGACTTAAAGTCCATCACTGAGTTCAAGGTTATATTCATCAAATATTTCATTATTAAATGCAACTTCTGCTAGTTTATTTATTTTTTCAATACGATCATTTGAAAGTCTATCGTTTAATTTTTTCTGAAGTTTTTCATTTTCTAGTTCTGAAACTTTATTTGGATGATATTTAAACCCGTTAAATTCTTTTTCCTCAGTTTTGATCATTAATTTACAAAGAACTTTTGTGGTTGGAATTCGTTTAAACCATTTATCATTAATATTTGTTATAAATTCAATATCTGGAATTAATTCCCAAATTTTTGCATTTTCAATTAATTTATTATCAAATGCAAAAGCAATAGGTTTAATATTAAACTTACCTTTATAATATATACTTTCTACATAATCATCGAAATAAACATCTACTTGTTTAACATTTTCAAGAATTGGTGAAAGAACATCCATTAATTGATTGACGGTTACGAATCTTGATCCACTCATTTTCATACGAATTAAAAAAATAAATTATTCAAAAAATGTAAGACATGAATTTTTAAAGTTTATTTTTTTATTTTTTTTTATTTTTTTTATTTCATTATGTATGGGTTTAGTGAAAATTTCTTACGATTCTGAAAATTTTTAAATCTTGATTTATTCAAAAACGTAAGAATAAAAACCGTAAAAATCATACATTTTTTACTTCATATGTAAAAAAAAATGATACAAAATCGCTCAAAAATGTATGAATTCTTACGTTTACAAAAAAAGTCACAAAACCCTTCAACATATACTACTTATGATAAGAATTGAGTATTGATATGTATATATCTTAACTAAGAACTTATATTTGAATTTAAGTAGTTTTTTAGTGATTTGACCCGTATTATTTTTATTCTAACATTAAATCTGAATCATTTTGAACTCAAATAATGGTTTTAGGAATTGCGATTAAAGATATGATAATTTGTTATGTATTTATATATTTTTGTAATAAAATTAATGAATGAAGGGCCGATTACGACACATTTGAATAAGACTTTGTATCCTTATTGATAAAATCTAAGAATATATAACAAGAGTATTGTGTAGTTATTCATTTTGCAATATTTCGAATAAGATTTCTATACAAATTTCGACCGAAATTCTCTGATTTTTAAAATTTAAGACATTTGATAAAAAAATCATTCTTAAGTCATCAAATATATATACATTTACAACAGATACCAAATAGCTATATAAAAAAGAATAAAACAAAAATTACAATTGAGCGCAAAGTGCTTCCCACTCTGCCAGATTCGTATTAAACTGCTGGATGCAGCCATCGAATGCGTTAAACAGCTTCTGATCGGCCAACAAGAGCTTCAAAGTTACATATTTGTAGAAACCAACTTGTCCCTGCGGCAGCGGTGTTTTATTGTTTCTATCAAATCCCTTTGTAATCTCTAGACCACGTTTAAGCTGTTCGTCGCCTTGTGTGTACCATTCTTCCTGTAATTGTGCGGACATTGTCGCAGCTTCTCCGAAAGGACGGCATGTATTAGATAGATCGGCAAGTTTCATGATCGCCTGGCAAGCGAGCAATCGTTCGTCCTCTGTGTCTTTGTAACTGCCCGCGATGTTATTGAAAGAAACGATATAGTCTTGGTGCTTGGACATGTCTGTTGCTAGTATAATATTCGAAACGAATTTGAAGTATATGCGTCTTGTCTCGTCGTTGAAGGTTTGTATGCTCTTGGAGAACTCATTCGATAAAAATTCTATCGTAATCTTCTGGTGATGGTATTCAAGGGGCGGCTGATTGGAACCAGACTCCTGAGCATATTTGGAGTTGACTTGGCGATGGAAATCGTTAGAACGTCCGTTATGACCAACATCATGACAAATGGCCGCTGTCATAAGGGAAAAGTAATCTATTGGTTGGATAAAATGCTCTATCGGTTTTTGGAGAAGAGCAAAATATACAAATTGGCAGGCATCGCATGCATGTCTCCAGTTATGATATGGAACATCGTTATATAAGCTTCGGATTTTATAAAGGAACCTGACAAAGGTCTCAAAATCGATATCGAGTTGAGAACGTTTTATTATTTGGCTAAATAGGCAAACAACAATCTCGAATAATGAATCGTTATCGAAACGTTCAATAGTAAACATAAAGTTCTGGTAGGCATCAAGCATGATTTGTGGTGTACGCTCAACATGGTCAATCATGGTTGTGTAGTCGTAGTGATTTTTGTTGATCAAATCGATCAACTCGCTGAAATCGGGAATTAGGGTCTTATCAAGAGGATCGCCTGTGAGAAGAGTAATAAATAGATTTAGATCCTTATCGGTTATGGGGATTGTTGAGACAAAAAAGTTGCCGCGAATGTTTCCGAATTTATTCTGTTTTTGAGTTGTAATTGTGCTGCACAAACTTTCAAGATCGGACCCAAGGATTTCGTAAATTCCGTCACCTTTGAATCCGGCAAAGTTTGAGGCGATTATGTAGATAGATTTGTATTTTTTATGGAGTCTGCAAAGAAAGCAAGCGTTAGAATCGCATTCTTTGGCGATTTTAATCATTGTTTTGCATAACTCGGTCTGCTGGCCTGTGAAAGGCATATCGGGGATGGCATCAAATTCAATCATTTAAATGACAATTTCTATCGTAAAGTCTTGAAAAGAATAAATGAATTCAAAAAATTGAAAGCAGCTAAGAAAAGTTGGCCTTGGTCTATATATATTGTTGGGAATATAATGAATATTTGGATAATTTAAGGGTTTCGTTTTGCGAAAAAAACGTACAATACGCAATTTCGCTAAAAAAACATTTAGCTAGCAATTTCGACCCTTGACTCCACTCAAGACGTCACTTTTTTAATTATGCGGTATCATATTTTTGGAAAATCTTTATGAATATTATATAAAAAGTCTCTTTAATATCTATATTTCATATTTTTATCGATTTTTAAAGTTTTTGCGAAAAGTATTCAATTATTTTTGCTATTTGGTCGGGTAAATGTCAGATTTGTGACATTTTCTGATATGATATTCAGATTCTACGTTGATAATAATGCATATAGAACCCTCTTGCTATTGTGTCAAAATTGCGAAACCGATAGCAAAAATATCTCGCAATATCAAAATTGAGATATTGAGTGAAAAAAAAAAAAAAAAAAAAAAAAAAAAAAAAAAAAAGGTAGTGGGGCTTCCAGGCACTTCGTGCCTTCTAGCCCTGAAGATGTTTAGGAGAAATGAAGTTCTTATATACGGGTCTTCCAGGAGCTTTTCACAAATTATATATGTTTTTCATGTTTTGTCAAGATTTCATCGTAAAGACTTTGTCAAGATTTCATCGTAAAGACTTTGTCAAGATTTCATCGTAAAGACTTTGTCAAAACTTCATCGTAAAGACTTTGTCAAAACTTCATCGTAAAATCAGACAAAAATAATGTTTAGGGTAGAAGGTTAGATATAACCTCTTTTCTAACCTCTTTTCTACCCTCTTGAATTTGTCAAGACTTCTTCGTAAATGTTTTGTCAAGACTTCTTCGTAAATGTTTTGTCAAGACTTCTTCGTAAATGTTTTGTCAAGACTTCTTCGTAAATGTTTTGTCAAGACTTCTTCGTAAATGTTTTGTCAAGACTTCTTCGTAAAATCAGACAAAAATAATGTTTAGGGTAGAAGGTTAGATATAACCTCTTTTCTAACCTCTTTTCTACCCTCTTGAATTTTCATGAAATTTACACCAAAAATATACTACTAGGGTCATTTACGAAGAAATCTCAACAAAGTCTTTACGATGAAATCTCAACAAAACATAGACAAGAAAGTTCATGAGAAATTAGATGAAGAAGTCTTGACAAAGTCTTTACGAAGAAATTCATGAAAATTCAAGAGGGTAGAAAAGAGGTTAGAAAAGAGGTTATATCTAACCTTCTACCCTAAAATATATTTTTGGGTCATTTACACTCATTTACGAAGAAATCTCAACAAAGTCTTTACGAAGAAGTCACAATAAAACATCTGTCACTTTTCGGGTAAAAACATTTTTATTATTATATATAAATGAATTTTACAAAACCACCGTTACCCTTCTTTGGAAATAAGAGTAGATGTAAAGATATTCTATTGAGAGAACTTAAGAAACTACCGAATGGTCTAACATTTGTAGATTTGTTCGGTGGAAGTTTCTATATATCCCATCTGTGCCATACAATATTCCCAGACTCAAAGATTATATGCAATGACTTCGACAACTATATGAACCGTCTCAAACATATACCAGACACAAACAAAATATTGAGTGAGTTGAAAGAAAAGATACCTATAGGTAAGATGGAACGTATACCATTAGATAAGAAAAATACTGTCAGAGAGGTTTTGAAAAAAGCAGAATATATAGACTGGGATAGTATATCTGCTAGACTATTATATAGTGGTGCTATAAGAGTTCATGACATTGAAACACTTATGTCAAAAGTTTTATATCTTAACTATACAAATGTTTTCAAAGAGGACATAGAAAAATATATTGAGGGTATAGAGTTTGTGAGATGTCATTGGACAGATTTGTATGAAAAATATAAAGACAAGGAAAATGTTTTCTTTATAGTAGACCCGCCGTTCTATAACACATGGGATTTTCAATACCAAGTAGACTGGACTTTGAGAGACTCTTTAGAAACTTTAGACGTTTTACATAACCATCCATGCTTTTACTTTACATCCGATAAAAGTGGTTTGGAAAGTGTCATGAGATGGTTAGAGGACATACATGACTATGAGTTTAGATACGATAAGATAGAATATGAGAGAGGTCCTATAAACTGGAGAAAGTGTCATAACAAAGAAATTTTACTAGTAAGTAAATGTGGTTTGAAATAGGACTACTTGTTTTAGGTTTTTTCCATTGTGTCATTTATTTATTTGACGTGGCAGAAAAGTACAGAGAATATGAAGATGAACCAATGCCTGCAAATGTTCAGTATATGTACTCGTAAGAGATATTTTTATCTAATATTAAATGGACGCACAGAACTTAGCGAATGCACAGCAACCTGGACAACCAAACCCAGAGAATATTCCAAATGAAGTTAGAATACAAACTGCAATGGCAAACTATGGTCAAGTGCCAACAGATGTACAAATGCAAACTGCATGTCAAATGACGCTGCGTTAGGTTTGCCCACCATGGTATGCAAATATGAGATGGAAAGAGTTTTATACAAACCCTGAAGTGGGATATAAACAACTTTATGCAGATGACGCGAACACAGGAGTTGACCCAGAATATTTTTCTACCAGAGGAGAAACAGAATGTATGAGCTCCAGTTAAAGAATGCTATGGAACTCAACAGGAAACGTAAGAGACTAGGCGGACATTAGATTTTTACATATAGTAAAATGGGTTTCTTTGGAAGAATAGGAAACTTCTTTCGAAATGTTGGAAGAGGTATATGGAATGGAATAAAATCTGTCGGAAGAGGAATTTGGAACGAGTCAAAAATATTGGTAAAAGAGTAGGTCAGTTTGTTGGTATTATACCTAAAGACCCTGAACCAGAAGAACAAGCTCCTGTTATACAACAGCCTGAACCTGCACCACAGTCTAGTTGGCAACCAAATCCAACACCTCAACCGTATTAAAAAATTATATTTTTACCGTTCGATAGTAGTTGTATATGAAACTAAGTTCTAAGTAAAACGCATGGTATAATGGAACTATTCTCTTTCTTCCATCTTGTAAACCATACTTGAAAGTCTGAAATACTTCCACTTGGTGGTTCATATAGCTTTGTAGGTTTTTCGTAAAGTCATTTGCCAAGCATAAAAAGAGTTTTGTGCACCAGAAAATGAAGCATGAACTATAATAGCAGCTGGGTCGAAAACATCTTTAAATAAATATGGTTCATCTCTTGCATATCGACTGTAAATATTTGCTAAAGGAAGTTCGACTTTCTGATTTAACATTCTTTGCAAATAATACCATGACATTGCAGTGAATTCTGTATATATTTGTTCGTCTTTCTTTGATTGTCTTCGTAGATTTGAAATGACACTTGTGAATTTTGTTTGTCATATACAATTCTCACATAAAGTGTGCTCTCGGTGCATATTCATCAGCATATTTTGCATAACATGAATTTATTTTATCTTCTATATTTTTAACGCAGTCTGTAGAGAAGATGAAAGGTCAACTTGTATTAGCTCAATTTCTTCCCACATTTTTCGTTTCCCTTCAGATATATAATCTATATGAAACCTTACAATAAATGGAAAACTTTTATCTTCTACAGACACAAACTTCATTCTACGAAAGCCAATAGCTTTTGTGACAGATGGGTCTCTTAGCCATCTTAATGGGTAGTCAAAACGATAGCCTTCATGCTTTACGGTCTCTGTCTCAAACTTTTGACCGACATTAGTAAAAAGTTCATCTAATGGTTTAGTTGTAGCAACTCTTGAATTTTCTTTTTCTATTGGAAGCATATTTTATCTAGAATAAAAATGTCGAAAGAAACAGCGTCTATGAGAGAAATACAACACAACCGACAACTCATTTTGCAAGCTCTAAATAAGAACACAACAAACTTTTCAAACTATTCTAAGATATCTGAGTCATTGAAAGAAGGAAACTTAAAACTGACGATAAACCCAATGACAGATGAGTTTCTGTTTCAAGACAGTAAGAACCATACTGTTTGTATAAATCCAACAAAAAGAACTTTAAACGAGAAACCTATAGATGAACTTCTTTTGAAAGCAGATATTGACAAAAAGCTGACAAAGAGTATGTAGATGCAACAAGAGACTATATTCTCGCATGGACAGATAGAACATACCCACAAAAACACCATACACATAACATCTATGACGTAGATGAACTACCAGCAATGTTAGATGACAAAGCGGATAAAACATATGTTGACAATAAAATGTCAAGTGAAGTGACAAGAGCTGACAAAGAATATTCTAAAAAGACTCATACACATACCATTGCAAATATTACAAACTTACAAGAAACCTTAAACAGGAAAAGTGACGTTGGACATACACACGATTTCTTCGCAACTGTTGGTATAAAATATTGAAGGAACGGTTGAAGAAACTGGTGGGGATGTATTAAATTGGAAACCTCCTAACTTTCCACAAGGTTTAACATCGGATGAAGACATAACAACGATGAGATACATTAGATGTAGAAATGTCTATGTCATGGAGGATGAAAACAAAGTTAAATTCACTGCTCAAGATTTATATGATAAAAAAGCTGACAAAACAGAGCTTCAAACGTTAAAGACAGAAATACTTCAAACAGTATATCCTATAGGTTCTATTTACACGTCAATGAACTCTACCAGACCAGAAGTAGTACTTTTTTGGAACTTGGACTCAAATAGTCGACAGGTTTTTGTATTGTGCAAACTCTTCAAAGGAAACAGGTGGAAGTAAAACGATTTCAGGTGCAAATTTACCTGCGCACAGTCACTACAAGTTTAAGTACATCTGAAGCAGGTTTGCATAGTCATAGATTTTGGGATTGGTCAGGAATGACAAAAGGTAAAGGATATGATGTTAAAGAGGACGTTAAGTTTGCTATAAATTGTTACTGGAGTAACACTGAGGTAGGAGGAACCATACACATCGCGTTTCAGGATATACGCAAACAACGGGACAAAGTAAAGACTACATGCCACCTTACATGACAGTTTACGCATGGTATAGAAATGCTTAGTCGTCATTTTCAACTTCTTTAGCATATTCGTCAGGAGTTGTCTTATATTTGTTAGGAACTGTCTTTGAAAGTATACCACCTTGAACTTTGACAAGTTTGAAACGAGGTCTGACAATAGTAGTTTTATCTTCTGCTTGCAGTCTGTACATTTTGCCATGTTTGCCTAAAACTTCATAATATTCTCTTGTATACTTTCTTCTATTTTTACGAACACGAATGTGAGTACCTGTCGAGTTCCCATTGTTGTCATAGTCAATAGTATTTTCATATGGGTCGCGTTTAGGTATTTCTATTTTTACTTTGTCACCTTTCTTAAGTTTGAAGCCTGGCATTCTTTCTTGTTTGTCTCTTTTGACTAAACTATTAAATATATAGTCTTTCTCTAAGTCAGGGTTGTTTTTCATTTCTTCGGGGGAGTGGTTTCCCAAACCTTTTTGTTTACGGCTATTGTAAATATTTAAAACTTGTCTCATCTTTGCCATGGAAATGTCTATATTTGTCGTCATATGACATTTCATTTGCTTCACCACCTTGTGGTTGTTTAAGTCTCTTAAGATTTTTATACAACTGTCAATGACACCAAGAGCAGAATGGTTTTGGTCGACAATGAAATATTGGTTTACATTTTTTGAACGCAGATAGTTTTTAATATCGTCTGATTTGAAAGAACTTTCACAGTCAGATGTCAGTTTTGTTGGATGGTATTTGTCAACGAATATTGTCAAAGCAGTTTTCACATCTAAAATATTTTTGGACTGTAATGGTATGGCTTCACAGTATCTTGTGTTTTGACCGACAAATATTAGCCAGTATGGTGGTCCATCTTCTCTATACCTCGGAATGTTTTCCAAGATATCCATAAACCAAGCATTTGGTGTTGAACTAAAGATTTTTATCATGAGTGCTTTCTTTGTCGCTTTAGAAACATAGGGGTCCTTGTTTGGATTCGTCATTTTTTACCCTATAAGAAATGGGTTTATTTGGCGCATTAGCAGGAGTTGCATCCAGATTTTTGCCCGCAGTGGGAACAATAGCCAGAGGTGCATTTGGAATTGGAAGGAAGATTTTGAGTACATTAGGTATACTAAAGAGAAAGCACAACCTATTATACAAACTGTACAGAAAGGTTGGGAGGTAGCACGAGATGCAGCAAATCTTATTCCAAATCCTGAAACAAGAGGAAAAGTTCAAGGATGGATGGACAATGTAGGAAGACAAGCAGGAAACTACTATAACAAAGCAAATGACTACTATAACCAAGCAGGGCACTATATGGACCAAGGTGAAAGATTCTTTAACAGAGGATATAACCATGCACAACAATGGGTAAACAACAACCAACCGCAACCGCCTCAAACGTGGGGAATGTAAATTTTTTACTGAGATGAAATGAACAATACAGCATTGAGACAAATGGGTTCAAGATGGATTTGTCGACTTCCAGCAGTTACACAACCACGTGTTTGTCAAGTTCTTCCTATACCTCAGGAAGTTTTAGACCGACTTAAAAAACCTAAACAACCAGTTGAAAACAAACCAAACTAAAATTTTTTTACTGAGATGAAATGACCGAAGAAGTTGAAACGGTAGATTTGACACCACAAACAAAAAGTTCAGAACCATTGTCAAAACCTGTCAAAGAACTTACAGATGAAGAGAAAAATTCAATAATAGAAAGTGCCAGGTCTGGAAATACAAACCCTAACTACAAAGTCACTTTTCATAGAAATGGAACGGCTAGTATCTCAAAAAAGAAACAGACTCTCACAAATAAAATATTGAAGTCTGAAGGAGCTTTCGAGACAACAGATGGAAAAGTTTACTTCACTGACCAACAGTTCATTATAGAACATCTCATTGACTTAGAGTCGAAATATTCTAAACTTTACAACAAACACAAAAAGTTGAAAGGAAAACAAAAACAAATGGCATATGATATTTATGAAGATGTTGACGACACAACCATACCTGCAAGTGAGGTAAAGTCAGAGGAACCGAAAAGTGACGAAAAACCGATAGAAGAAGAAAACCAAAAACTGAAGATAAAACCAAAACCAAAGTTTAGTTTCCAAACTAAACCAAGTCAACCTTCATTAGCTGGTATGGGTTGGCGTCAAAGACTTATGGCAGCAGGCGGTTATGTAAAGTAAAGAAAAAAATATTTTTTTATTTTTATAAAAATGCCCCCGTATAGAATGGATAGAAATCTGCTAGAATAAAAGCAGAGTTAGAAAGATATGGTTGGAGAGTTTCGAAGAAGTTTAAATATAGGAAGGGAAGACCCATAAAAGTCTATGACAAATTGTCTGGTCTTCGCTACGAAATGGATTTGGAAACAGCACGTGCAAATTATCCAAACAGACTAGAGAGGTTAGAAGAAGAACGTCTTATGGACATGCCTTTCGATGTTAGTGAGCCTCAAGTTGAAGGACACGACGGCTTTGCCAGATTCTACTGGAAACATGACGAACAATTGCATCCTTTGAGAAGGAAAAAAGGAAAAGGTGAAGACGCACATGCTCCCATGGAAAGAACAAGATATGCATATGAAAAGTACGTGAAGTTAGAAGTCAAATTACATCTGGTCGAACCTTTACAGTAAACTTTGACGAAGGAAAGAACAAAGAAGGCTTCATGGGAGTACTTGCTGCCATACAAGACGGAAATAAGAAAGGATACAATCTCAGACTACCGTAACAGATTTGGACGGTCACATTTACTATGCACATGGCAATGTCACAACAGCCGCACAACTTCTTGACGCTTTCAAGACTACAAAGAGAGAACAAATGGTTGACTCCGACTCAGACATTTTGAATGCAATTGAAGGAATTGCAAGTGTAAAATTTGAATGGTACCAACCTAACCCTCAAGCAGTCAGACAACATGCTGGATACTTCCCGTTCATAAATAAGTCTGACATTGACTTGACAAGGTATGGAATTTACAATTCAATTGAAACAATTGTCAATGAACCTTGTATTCTTACATGTCTCAGGAACTCTGGTCTTGTTACAGAAGAGAAGATGAAGTATCTTGAGTCATGTGTGAAGACAAGGTACATTCTCAGAGGTCAATTGGCAAAAATTGCACCGTTGGCAAATGTCAATATCCGAGTCAACATACCTACAGCTAAAGGTTCTTCACATGACGACTATGTTGTTGACAAAGACTTACCATGGTTGAAGATTGTAATTGTCCACAACCACTTCATGTTGAACGAAAGTCTTATTGTTCGGAAAAGGCAAGTGCAACATTGTCAGAGCTGTAAATTCTTTTCGAGAAAGGTTTGTTGGAACCAATTCCAGATGACAAGCTGACAGAAACTTTTGTACCAAAAGACGAAACAAACTTTTCATTGTTAGCAAGACCAAAAGTTGTTCCAGACAAAGTTCTAGTACAAAAGAAGTACACAATTCCAAAAGGAGTTGGATTGTTCGGATACCAACCTGAACCAGAAGAACTTCCAATGAGGTTGCAAGAACTTCAAGATGCTATAAACAAACTTCCATTGAGACATCCAATTGACGTCAAATTGTATTGGAGAGCATCTGAGTTAGGTCAGAAGGTTTTATATGAAACAGGTTGCTTCGACGATGTTTATGAGATAACAGGAGAAGTTTCTCAGAAGATAAGAGACTCACTTGAATTTCCACAAACTGGACCAATTGGTTGCGACAAGTTCGACTCAGATGAAAAGATATACTATGTCGACCTTAACGCTGCACATGAGGTTTGTCCAATATATCCCGACTGGAATTCCAAACGAAGACGGTGAGTTCCCAGGAAGGAACTATACAGTTGGAAAAGTCATACAACAACTGTATGATATTAGGAAAGCTTCAAACCCCAAACTTGCAATGACACTCAAATTGCTTATGAATTCGACATGGGGATATTCCATTAAGAAACCTCAAGAGATGAAGAGTAAACATTATGAGAAGGTCGACAACTTTGTTGAAAGGTTTTCTCCTTTTGTTTTGAAGTACGAATTCACTCAAGGTCAAAGTGGCTTAGTAACCACATTAAAACCTATTGTCGAACATTGGTCTTACCCTCAGTTCGCAAAGGCAGTCCTTGACAACTACAACAAATTCTTCTCCGAAGTCAAATCCAAAGTGAAGGTTTACTATGAGAACATTGACGCACTCATGACGAACGAAGAAGGCTATAACAAACTCATTGAAATGGGAATGGTCGGTGAAAAGATGGGTCAATTCAAATTGGACAAAATTTTCACCGAAGTTCATGTCCTCTCCAAGCGTAAGTACTGGGGCATACTTGAAGACGGCACAGAAATAAAACATTGCATGAAGTAAAAAATTTTTATTCGAATTTGAATCGGACAGGTCGAGTTACACCATTCTTGGTCTCAAACTCATATATAACCTGTTTGTTGTATTTTCGTCGACTATGACACGAGACACGAACATTGACCAAACGGACAAAAAGTGTCATTTCAGATGGTCCGCAGCCAATCGCATTCGAGCACTTCGAAGAAGCCTTACGTTCCAAGGGAGAGGGTGTCTGGTGCAAGGCAGAGGTCATGAAACTCTACGAGCAGTACATCCTCAATGCCTGGGAGGACAAATCGTCCTTGGATTGGCAATTCTACCAACTCCTCTGGGACGACCTCCTACGCAACTGGGATGACGAAAGAGTCCAATTCAGAGGTCAGGAACTACTTGTCCAAATTATCCTTAATTTAAGCCGCTTACGCAACTAAAAACCTAAATTTACTCGGGGTTTCCCCCTAAAATAAAATTTTTTTACTCTTAGAACCACTCGAGGTTCTCCTTACGGTTGTTGAGCTTGTCACCGTCAATGTGTCTGACCTTCGTCTTCTTGTTTGGATTTGGAACCCATTGAATTGCGACAAGCTTGCCCATGGAAATTGAACCGCGATTCCGAAGGGTAAGGTTCAAGTGTCCCAAGTTGTTGAGGACTGGGGTAAGAACCTTGCCTGTCTCCCTGTTGCGGATTTGGTATGGGTAGGGTTGGGAAATTTCATAACCGTCATCCGCAACAAGGGTTGCCCAAACTTCCTCTTCTTCGTGTTTCTCTTCTTCCTCTTCCTCTTCTTCGTGTTTCTCTTCTTCCTCGACAATTCCTTCTTCAATTTGGTACTCACGAATTACGGTGTTGGAGGTTCTGTCCTTTCCGAGTACCTTCCAGATGGCGTCTATCTCTTCGAAGAAACGGTAGATGAGTCTGGCAAGGTCTCGGTTTTCTCTCTCGTAAATGCGCAAGGTTTCCGTCAAATCATTCAGGCATTTCTCATTGGAAG